CACCTCAAGTAACCAATTTGACCCTTATAAAACAAACCACCAAGCTAGTATGCTGAACCATGCCCACCTTGAAACCTGTCAACAAACCCCTCTGAAACGCACTAGATAACAAATGCCCCAAAGTCTCCATAATCAAGATAAACAATAACTGAGACAAAGGATCTCCCTGCCGTAAACCTCTATTAGTTGGGAAAAAACCTACTGGCATCCCTTTCACTAGGACATACATCCTAACAGTAGATACACAAAACTGAATCCATCTCCTCCATAACTCTCCAAACCCCACCCTCTTCAACATATACATCAAGAACCTTCAGTTCACATGATCATATGCCTTTTCAATATCCAACTTGCAATTAATGCCTGCTTGCCCCTGCCGAATCTGCAAGTCAACACACTCATTTGCTACCAATACAGCATCCAAAATCTGACGACCACCCACAAAGGCATTGTAGGACTCTAACACCACCCCCTCCAAAACTCCCCACAATTTATTAGCCAAAACTTTAGCCAAAAGCTTGTACACACTCCCTAACAAACTGATGGGTCAAAAGTCCCTAGTATCCTCTGCCCCTCATTTCTTTGGAATTAAAGCTATGAAAGTAGCATTAAGACTCCTCTCCAACTGTCTTGTTTGATAAAACTAAGCAAACATAGCCAACACATTTGTCTTCACCACTCCCCAACACAGCTGAAAATGGCCCCAAACATCTTCTGCAAAGCCCTTGAAACCTCCTCCTTTGAAAATGGCCTTTCTAATATCTGTCTATCCGCTTCTAAAATAGCATTAAACTGAACACCATCCAACCCCGGCCTCCAAGTTCCACATTCTCCCTGAAATAAGTATGGATAGAAACTCATTATGCCAGCCCTCACCTTATCCTCCGACGATAACACCACACCATTAACATGCATCTTCCCAATCTGATTCACCCGATGATGAGTGTTCGTCATACAATGAAAAAAAATTTGTATTTTGATCCCCCTCTTTAGCCACAAACATTTAGATCTCTATCAATATCTAACCTCCTCCATGTGAGCCACATGACCATACTCCTTTGCCCCTTCTCGGGCCGCCAAATCGTCATCGGTCAAGCTACTCTCAACTTCCTTCTCATCCAACCCCTGCAACACCACCAGAATATTTGTCTTATAAGTTTCCAACCGACCAAAAACCTATTTGTTCCACCCTCCACAAATCAGACTTAAGAAGCTTTAATTTCTAAGCCAAGTAGTATCCTTCCCACCACAATCGAACTATATCCACAAAACCTTCTAACTGCAACCATATATTTTCAAACCAGAATGGCATCGGTCCACTCCGAATCCCACCACTATCTAACAACACTGGCCAATGATTTGAAACAGCACGCTCCAATCTTTGCTGAACTACTTGAGAGAACTGCTCATCTCAATCCCTAGAAACTAAAAAACGATCAAGGCGAGAAAACACCCGAACTCCAAACTAAGTGAAGCTCCCTCCCTGAATCGGCAAATCAATCAACTCTAGATCATCAATCAACAATGAAAAAGCCCGCATTAATCCCACTGACAGACCCAATCCCATCTTTTCCTCTGACCGATGCACCACATTGAAGTCACCCCTTACACACTAAGGCCCCGACCATCGAAAAACAATACTCTATAACTCTTCTCAAAAGAGAGCCCACTTTAACCCCCGCACCGGCCCATAAAACTTCTGTAAACACCCACCGAAAGTTATCCTCAATATAGTGAGAAAGACATGATATCGAAAAACCACCCATCTCCTCCTTCTCTTTTTCAACCACCATCCGATCCCAACATAAAAAAACCCGCCCAGCCACCCTAACAGCCAGCAAATATGTCCAATCCACGTACTGACCCCGCTACACCTCCCTAACCACCTCTCCATCAACGTGCACCATTTTGGTCTCTTAAAGACATACAACATCTGCATTTGCCTTCCTCAAAACGGCCCTCAGCGTCACCCTCTTTCCCCTATCATTTAGTTCACACACATTTCAACATAAGATTTTTAAATGCATGGCAACAGAGATTGGCTAGCACATTTCATCCTTAAAGCCTACCCCCTTCTTGTGAACGCCTATCATAATTGACAATACACTCTAGATTCCCCAATTCCCTTGCACTATTACCTTTTTTCCTAATAACCTATATCTGTTTCCCTAAAGGAGCACTCCCCCTCCATGATGCCTCAATAGCCGAAAATAACTTCATTGTTTTATCCTCGTACCTAACAAATGATACCCCAAGCAAACAACTTAACTCCTTAATTTACGACAGCACCCAGTCAGACACCTCTCTTGGACCAAGAGGCTCCTCTCCCTCAAAACCAATCCTCGTTGTCTATCTGTCAGTCCCATACTCAGCTGTATCAAACTGCCATGTCTCCATCGCCAACGGATACAGAACCAGAGACAAATTTTCACCCTCATCCGCCCAATGACCTCTTGTTGCACCACAATCCATCCCAAATTCAGGGTCGACGATACGGTCCGACCTCTATTCCTTCTCGCTTCGAGCTTCTCTCATCAGATCCAACATCTGATTAAGTACAAAGGCGACCTCGAACCATCTCTGTCCTCTGTAAGATTGGGCTTGGAATAGCGTCGCGATGAGCCAGTAGTGGGGCTAGCACGATGTTCCATCGGTCAGAGCTTCGTCGTCAACAAACTTTTCTCTTGATAAACGAAAAGGTGAAGACACCTCTATGAAGATCGAGCCTACACTCTGATGTACTAAATCACAAACCCGCTTCACAAGCGGGTCATCCATTTTAACCGACTGTTGCAAGTCTGGCCCAATAGAGTTAAGACCCAGCCCAACCCCAGTGCCTTAACCCAAAATAAAATCTTTTAAATCACCTTTTGGCCCCCCTTTAGATAGGCCCACGTGCCCAGTTTCCTCAACCTCTCTGTGTGGCTTGGTTTGGGCCTGAACTCTTATCTTTGGGCCTACTTGGCCCAACTGTTACTGGGTCTGTGGTCTTCCAGCAACCCTAAGCCCCTGCCCTTTAAACCCAATCCTCTGTTGACCACCACTCCTAAATTTTCTAAATCACTGAAGATTAGGTCGAGATCTCCTCTAACCTCCCAATCTCTGAGAATGATTTGTCCTTCGCCATCTTCACCACTCATGTCGCCCTAGATTCGCACCTTCCATACCCAGCCGATTCTCATTCTACATGGCAACTGACGTGGGAGCATAAACCACCATCGGCCCAATTTTCGACCAAATTGGAAGTGTGTAATGCTATGAACCCCGTTGGATCAAAATCTCCAACGGAATTCCACTAACCATGCCTTAGACCTTCATCCGAACACACCCTAGCAACTCCATCGACTCATCGACTGCCACAAATCCTCCACATCTATTTCTAATCGCTCGGTACACCTCAATGCCTCAAAGATGGATCGAGAGGCCCAAAACCTATATCTAGTAGCTTCGTGCCAAAACAGGTACCCTTTCATCAGCACAGAGTGAATCCAATGACCACCAGCTGGGAATCAGGTCGTGACCAGCTATCGTTTACCTCCGACGCACCACAGCATCTGCCTCTCGCCTCGACCAGGAGACAAATAGGTAAAACTGGCCACCAATTCGAAAAACCTATACTTCCCCCGATGACTTCCACCATCGATGCACTCAATTGATAACAACCATAGTTTCCAAACCTTTTTCCCCCAATACTCCCACCCTCTCCACTACTGCTTTCTCACTTAAAAGTTTGGGGTAGCTCAGCCCATGTAAAAATTCTAGTACCTAACAAAGGAAAGTTAGATGCAAAATCAATAAAATGCACTTTCATTGGATATTGTGAAAATTCCATAGATTATAGATTTCTTGTTCACCATAATAATGGTTCGGTGGGTGTAATTGAAAGTAGAGATACTTTTTCTTTGAAGACGATTTGGATAAAATTGAGAAAATGGTTGAATTGTTTGAAATTACCAAAGAAAGTGAAAGAATACAACCAATTGAACAAGTAATAAAAGAACCTCCTCCCAAAGATACTTTAACTAGAACACAAAGAGAAAGAAATCCACCAAGCTATTTAAAAGATTATTATGTTTTCAATAGTGAAGAAAATCCTAATGATCCTGTAGATTTTAATGATGCTATGAACTCAATAGATTCTTTAAAATGGAAAGAAGCAATTAAAGAAGAAATAGAATTATAAAGAAAAAAAAAAGTTTGGGAACTAGTAGATTTACTGAAAGATAGAAAAGCCATTGGATGTAAATAGATTCTTAAAAAGAAATTTAAATCGGATGGAACCATAGAAAAATATGAAGATAGACTAGTGGCTAAAGGATACACACAAAAATAGGGAATAGATTATGATGGGACATACTCTTCGGACCAATTAAGTGAAGACATGTCAATATAAATTGAATTTTACATAATATATATATATATATATATGGGTTTGGTTCTCGAGTTGGTTTCCTATCAGGTTGATGATTTGAAGACCTAAAACCAAACCAATGTACTCAAAAACCAAACCGAACCAACCTAAAGATGTCAGGTTGGTTCAATTCTTCGGTTTACTAGGTATTTTGCACACCCCTAGCGGTGAGAATGAGTATCACTTCAAAACTCTAGGAGAATGGGCGGTTTAGAGAAGGATCTAAAATCTCTCCGACGGCAAAAGAGCAATCGGACCTGTGAAAGTCACATCTTAGACGCGCCTTTTAAAACACTGCTTAGGTTGAATCCCTCACTGGGTTAACTTTCTCCCCCAATCATTAATAATTTTGAGCAACTTGTTAGCTACAAGTTAAAGAACAGTACGACTAGAAGCAAGCATTGGGTACTGAAAGAGCTTTTAAAATACAATATTCATTTCACCAACCCAAAATACAAATATTGAAATTCTATTTAAGTAGAAAAATGAGTTGTACATATTGCATAGTCTTTGGTTGCCCAAATGAAGTGAGGAATCATAGATAGCAACAATGCTAAAGAAAACTATTTTAGGCACAAGGAAAACTCACCAACTGACATCCACTCTAGAGGTCGAATTGTGTATTTCCCTCTCTTCTTCAAAGCTACTGCAAGCCACAAAGGTACTTGAGTTTCTATTTGCGGATGGAAAGGGCCAAAATCTCCCTGTCAATTCATGTATGAACATGAGTGATGTACATGTGCATAAAGAGAGAGTGAGGGTACAAGTTAAGACAAATACACGGATCAAATTGAGAGTGTCCATTCTCATGTTTGGGACAATTTCGATCATTTCGTCTTCAGCTAGAAACTCCAACTGAGATGTCGAAAAATCACGATTAGTAAATCAATTGATAAAATCTATATCAATGCAATCTATACATAGAGATTGGAGAGAGAGTACCTCGTCTGCTAAAAATTCTGAGCCGTGAGGATCTAACTGGGTGGCCATATCTGTGAATTCGAGTAGACATGGGGCTTACGAAACTCCGTAGATTTGATGATTGACTTGACACAGAGTGGGTACGGATGAAATGAGGAGATGCTAATCAAATAAAGTAAGAACCCTAGTTTTCAATGGAGGGAAATGGTGTCTTGGTACTCTATGAAGGAATGTTTTTAGTTTGGCGCTTAAAAACTTAGCTAAGGTTATTCTACAAATTACTATTTGGAACCTTTTAAAAGAACAAGTATGAGATACAAACAAACAATAACGCTACGTTTGGATTGTGTGATTTGGAAAGAAAAGAAAAGAAATTGAGAGATATGTATTTCTTTTACTTGTTTGGATAACCTAAGTGGAGAGAAATGAGAAGAAATTGAGAGAAACTCATTTCTCTTATAAGTCTCATTTTCAATCTTCCCAAAAGTGGAGAGATTGGGAGAGAAAAAAAATCACTATTTTCATAATACCAATTTTGTCCCTATAAAAATAAAAGAAATAAAATGATTGAAAATATAAAAAGGTTATTTTGGTAATATAACATAAAATAATTTCTTTTCTTTTCTTTTCTCTTAATTATTTCTTTTCTTTTCTTTTCTCTTAAAACTTAATGAATCCTTTCTTTTCTTTTCTCTTCTAGGTTCCCAAACATAGTGTAAAAGTGGAATAACAATTCTTGAGTAAAGTGCAATAGAAAATGTTGAATAAAAACACATTTTGGAGCATATTATTATGATATATATAGCTCTAGATAACACGATAGGTCAGAATTTGAAGTAAGCACATGTATAAACACAGAGAAAATCGAGGATTGGAGTAGAGATGGCAAGTGAGGAATTAGATTAATAGTGAGGAAGATCCATACAGAGAGTGTTTGGTTGTAGAAAGTTGTGATGGGATTAACATTTCAAAGGACTTAGTAATCCCCTTTCTTGGTTGGACTAGCATGGAAAGAAAACATACGAAATTAGAAATCTAGTGATAGGATTAATGAATTAAAATATTAAATAAAATGGATTAAAATATTTTAATATTAGTTTTTTTCAAATAATTTATTTGTGAAAGAAATATTTAAATTTTTTAATAAATACTATAAATATATGATTTTTTTTATATTCAGTGAATTTTTAAATAATTTTTATGTAAAATTTATATATTTTTTAAGTGTCTCTAGATTAAGTGGACTTAAAAAGTATAAAAATAATAATAATCATAATATTAAAAATTAAAAAATATTAATTTTATATATTAATAAAATATTATTTATAGTATTACTAATTCGATGGTATACAAACAAATACTCTTATCCTACATCTACAACCTAATATCATCACACTAATAATCTTCTTACTTAGGCCTCGTTTGGGAAGGCTCTGTTTTAGTCAAAAAGTCAAAAAGTTACTAAATTAACCAAAAAGTCAACAACCCATACCAAAAAGTCAAAGATTATCTTTTCTCTCTACTTTTTGCACATCTTTTCGTAATTAGTTAAAAAGTCATCCCAAACATACTAGTTTTTTTTAGCTCATATTTTAGCCAAATAGCCAAAAAATTATTAAATTAACCTATTCCCAAACGAGGCCTTAATCCCACCATACTCCTAATCCCCTCCAACTTATGGACCCAAACAAGCAAGGCCCTAGAGTCTATGGCACGCGGGCCGACCTGCCCTGATTAAATTTCACTCTCTGCTCACTGATCTAGACTCAAACAGGGACCATTATGAAACTCTACAACCTGACCGGAACAGAGAATGATTTGTTCGCCCGATCCCAATCCGCTTGAAGCTAAAACATTGGCGGGAGAGTGAAAGTCCCAAGTCAAGACCCCTAAACCACACATTAACTCTTCATGAGTATTTGGCAATATATATTTATTTTTCAGTCTATTTATAATTTTAAATCCTAAATTAAAAATAAATTGATAATATAATCATATATTTTTATAATTTTAATAACTACATTTTATTTACACATAATTATTAATATATTTATTATACAATTATAACATTATAGTTTGATTCCGGTTGACTTGACGATTGAAATACTAACCCTTAACCTAGCCTCTTTTTTGGTTCACTTGATGGTTTGGGTTTTAAAATATTGACACCCCCGACCCAATTCCTAGCCCCAACTCTCTTTTTCATTTTTTGCAATTCCATTTAGAAGCAATTCAAAACTTTTTGTATTAAATATATAGAAAAATAAGTTTGGAAGTATAAATTTGAAATTTTTTTCTGTAAAATATATATTTGAAAATATTAAGCTTGACTATCAAATTATAAACAAATAATCTACAAAATATAAATTTTAAACTTGACTATCAAAATAAATCATGCGCAATAAACCATTTGCTTATTTCTCAAATATGTTCAAAATAAAATTACTCATCTATATCTAATACTATTGTTATGCAACTATAACACATTTCTTGTCCAACATCATCAAGCCACAAAGCAAATGAGGAAAAACCTCTTTGAATGAGGGATTTGGTCCAATTGATTATGAAAATATGAAATGGAGTTAAAATCCTTTTAGAACATGAGTAATGATTGAATTCGAGTTCTTGTTGAGACTTGATTACAAATTGTGGGCTGTGGATGTTGTTGTAATTGTGGAATTGAAATTCTTTAATTATGAGTTCTACTGTTCTTTGAAAGAATGAACTGAACTTTAGGCAAATGAAACAAATTACAAATACGCGCACCACATTGCATTTGCATGTTTTTAATTCATATCAGCTTATTATTTTGGGCAGTTTAAAATGCTGAAAGGAGATAAATAACTTAGGGTTCGTTTGGAAAGTGGGTTGGCTTTTTTGGCTATTTTAGCCTGGGGCTAAAAAGCCTAGCTTGGGAAGGACTATTGACTTTTTTAGTTTTTTTTTATTTTTTTGTGAGAGAAAGAATGTAATGATTATGGGTTGGATGTGATATTTTGTCTTATTGGACTAAACAACCTATTTTATTTTTTGTGGCTATTTTAGTCGAAAAAGCCCCAAAACCCACTTTCCAAACATAGGCTAGTATTCCAGGTTATAAAGCCAAGTTTTGGTAAACAAGTTATGGATTGTATTGGTATCCACGTGGGGAGTCTATGTGCCTAATTGCCCTGTCTTGTGCTTGATGTTGGACAAATGTGGAAAAAGTTTCTGGGTGTCCATTGGTCCGCTGTATTGAGCCAACAAATGTGAAAAAATAAGTGTTTTAGGTGCCCATCACCCTTCCGTATTGTGAGCCGATAAATATGGCATTATTTTAAAGTATAATAGTCATATGTATGTATGTATGTATGTATTGTGACTCTTGTCTTGGGATTCTAGTGCTTATTTACTACCCTGTGTCGTGTTGGATGAAGTTATTAAAATACTTTTGAACATCATGTTTTAAAAAGAGAAAGCAAAGGTTTGTCAGGGCACGTGCATAATATGATCATATTCATATCAAACGTTTATATACTCTGTTAAATGTGTTTTGTGATGCCCCAAAAATCGCAACTTCAGAAAATATATTATCAATTAAATATAAGGTTTATCTAAGGTTAGAAGTCTAGGAAACAACACTAATGAGTCCTATTGCCAATAACCGAGTAAGATCCCAGATCGCCAGAGGAGTCAAGTTAGCCTCCCTTCTAAGTCCAGCTTTCTTAGGTAGCGCACTACCCTTTTGACAGATCTTAAAAGGCATTGACGCAAGGTCCCATAAGCAACGCAGAGATAGGCATAGGATTACAAGGTAAATAATAATTACAACGTCTCAAATTTTAAATTTACAAAACAAGTTCGATTACTACTACAATCCAAAAAGAATGAATAAAAGCACAATTAGACTAATGAGCAAAATGGTTCCAAACTTTCTCTAAGGAAAACTTAAGTCTTCAAATGTCTTTGACTCTTCGTTGACTTCATATGTTTCTTTGATACCTGGCATGAAATGCCATGAGCTTTGAATGCCCAATAAACGCACACACACCCCATCCCTTTTTCCCAATCCAATACACCATCACAATTATAACAAGCAAGTAATGAAGCATGATAATCATTCAATAATAAAGGATTACAAGGTTAGATGTTAGAAATCTAGAAATTCCCCAAAGAGACTTTGTCCTCCCAACCATAAGAATCGGACGCAGATTATTCGGTATGTCCCCTTTTTTGCTGCTTTGTTACAGAACTAACCTCGGATGCTTACCAACGGTTATATACCACGTAGCGCTAACCGCAGGGCCTCAAAAGAGATGGTAATAATGGGCCTTGCCCAAATCCCTCCTTACACCAAATACTTAGGGTCCAAATACAACCGCTTCATTCTAGGGTTCCGAAAACCACTTGCGTAAGATTTTAACTTCCAAATAGGGAACGCCACCCGTCAACCAATCAATATCTTAGTAATCTTGTCCAAAAATTCGCAACCCATTACCACCTATAAAATTTCCCGTTTGAGCTAGATAATTTAAGTCAGAGGTAGGACATGCTCTTGAAACAACATCTATTGCACAAGTTTGAACAACTAAATAGTACAAATAGAAGGAAATAAGGTTACAACACATGAGATTCACATATGAAGATAGGCACAAGTAGCTCTAGGCATATTCAAGTAGTTAAGGGAATAAATTCGCACATGAATAAAATTTCCAGATTTGCATAAGTGTGAGCACCATCGAAGGATTAAAATAAAATATATAAACCTATGACATGTGAAATATCATATCGAGACATAATCATAAATTAATAAGCATATTCATGAACACAAGAGCATGAAACACTAATGAAAACAGAATTTCCAAATTCAGTACTATCTAAAGATTATACTCAAAAGGGCTATTTCCGATTTATCCAGAGCCCGGCCTTCCTATGGTTCATAGGGAATTTTATCTAGTTTTCGGAACATTTTTCGGAAATGGAAGTGCTTTTCCAGATTTGTAGTTATTTCAAAAATACTCCAGCTCTGTCCAGATTCGTCGACCGTTACGAAAATCGGATTTTTTCACAAACCGCTCACTCGTTTTTAATGAAACCAATTTTCCTTGAAAGATAACTCCTTAAGAAATATTTTGACATAAAATGGAGGTCCATAATATTTTTATACATTTTCTACAATTTT